CCCCCCCCCGCCCCCCTCCTTTCGCACCCCAGAGCGGTGCGCGCACTTCGGTGCGGACACCAGATTGGGGTTTCTTTTCTATCATTGTGTGAGAAAAGGGTGTTTGTGCTTCGCCAATTTTTTCCGTCTGGGTAGTTTGTTGCGCGACTTTCGAGTTTTCCTTTTTTGTACAATACTTGCAAGCAAAATTGTGCCCTATGTGTGGGGCCGGCTGTTTTTGCAATCGGGTTTTGGTGTTGCATCTGTGCGTGCGACTTGGACCCGCCGATATCATGGCAAATTGTTCCACGTGCGCTCCCGCTATCTCTCATTTGTCACACACTTTTTTCTTAATTTTACTTTCTTTCGTATTTTATGTTGGGTGTGCTGCCGGAGACTTGTGTCTTGCGTGCGTGTTTCGCTGATTGATACAGGCACGATGTACATTTACCGACCTTTCCTCCCGCTTTTGTATGGATGGACAACGGTACAGATGGACAACGGCGGCGTTGAGGTATGGGGCGCGTGGGTAGGCGAATGATTGCGTGCCCAGTGTTTTGCAAGTGACCTGAATAGAGACGCAACCTTGTATTCAACACAATTCGTGGCAAGACATGGCAAAACATACCCGTGTTTTCTTACCTACGGTGGGTCTTGATTTCTGATTGGCTTGCGTACGGGGAAGAAGAGGTTTCTAGTTGTGGGCAAAAGGGGCGTGTTAAGCAGGTCTTGCATCTTTTGCTTATTCTGCGCTTTTTTCATGCGACCCTACAGCGTGCGCGGAGTAGTTGAACGCAGAAGAAAACACATGTTTACCCGATTGTTGCCTGGTTAAAATAGCCCCGAGACAATAATGTCTTGTGTGGCAACCCGATTCGTTATTATCTTGTTGTAGTTTGGTTGATACTCGGGCTATGCAATGCACACCACTACTCATCCAGCCGCTAGAGCTAGCCCTGCAATCGCACGTCCTGGGGAATAGCGGTGATGATTGCTCGATCTGCCGATTTACGGTCCTGTGAGCAGCAATGATGACGATTAGCTGGGGTGGTCGGTCACGGTTTCTAACAACTTGCACTGAACTTTCTGCACATTTGTTTTAAAAGGCGGGTTTCATGGAACAGTTGTGTGGAGGTATGTGAGATTGCTTCGCTCCGAACAAGTGTCCCCCATCTGTTTCATGCCAACGTTTTCCGTCTCGGTTTCATGCACGTCGACTTTTATCTTCTTTCGTATCCGTGGTGTCGTGGTAAAAATAACTGTCTTGATAGTGGTCGTTAGTTTTCTTGGTGGTTGGTCTTGGTTGGATTGCAGAGGGGCGGATGGGTGTGAGAGAGAGAGGGAGTGGAGGAAGAGGATTGGTTCATAATGTGTATTTTTGCGATGAAAATAACTCTTCGAACCCGTCTTGTCGAATTGCGACAAAGTCGTTCGATTTTTCAGGGCTTCGGTAGAAGGTCGACGCGTAACAGTGATGCATTTCGAGTATCTGCACGATACCCGTCCCAGAAGACGAAATTATATTCCGATTGTTTTGATTTTCGGTTTGTGTCGAGTAAGCGGCGCTTGTTCGCCCGCAGCCCTCGCTTTGTTGGTCTTGGTCTTGGTTTCGGTCGGTTGTCGAAAGCATGTCGCTGGAGCGATGCTCTCTTGGTTAGATTTCAGTCTGGTTCCCGCGATTGGGACAAACGCTCGTTGCGCTCATTCTCGTGCGTACATGAAGCGGTTCCGGGGTACATTTGTGGCTAGGTAGAGCGGCCGTTCGAGGGTCGATTGTTTTGCGTTGTATCATACGCCGATAGTCGTTCGAGGGGCGAGAGTCCAAGGTGGGTTTTTAGTTGAAGTTCAGGCGCGATATGCGTATACTGAACAGGGGACAGGGGACGGCCTTTAGGAATGCTTTTCATCAAAAGGGACTGGTGTTTGTACAAGAGGGCGGGTTTTCAACACGAGTCGATGTACGGAAGGGTTACATGCGCTCTGTTGCCTCATGTTGTATTGTTTACTTTCCAATACCGATCGGTCCTGGCGTCATGAGCTTGTGGTGTGGTACTGCCCTGCGGTGCACGCTCCCATTTTGGTAAACACGAGATGAGGGCATCGGTTTCGTCCCTCCCTCAAGTGCATCACGGACTTCATGTGACTTAGCTTAGATGATATCCCGCTGAAAACGGTGAATTGTGAAAAGGACGCAACGGCACGAGAGTGGACGTGTGCGTGCGGGATACCACCGGACAACAGGGGTCCTAAGAGAACACACCGATGCGTCGGAGTGACACCTGCCCCGTGGAAAAAGCAAAAACGGAGCGGATGATTGAGCTGAATATCCGCGAAGGGATCAGAGGTGATAGATCCACAATGAGTGATCACGTGCGTAACGTCTCTGTGTCTGTCTCAACTCCAGGAAACACACGCTTTGCGCTTTGGAGCGCAGCTACCTCTAGTGGCTCTGGGGCAGCAGCATCGTGAAACACATCCATATCAATCGCAGTCATCGTCAAATGCGGTCCGTCATGTATCATCGGGGCGCCGTTTTGGTTGTGTGTCGATGCTGTGGCGCCGCACCTCACTTAAAAGCGTTCGTTGGTTCCGCTTTATCCGGTATCCGGCATAGACCATGGCGTTTCCGGGTTTGGGAAAATACATCGGGCCTGCCTGCGCTTAGCAAGGACAAGCAAGTGCGTCATTCGACCACACTCGACTCTCATGGCGACGCTATACTCTAAATGCGGCGACGATATATGGGTTCGACCTGTTGACACGAGTCACTGCCGAAGACACCATACGCAACGGCGCTACCCAATCATCGCCACCTGCAACAATTTTAGGCTACACTCATCTTCGATCCTAAGCGCGTTCAACCTCTCGGTTTACACGGGCAAGGGCACCAATCAACTGCGGCATACCATGGTATGACTTACGGTAACAGCCAGCGTTCGCAGCGGTTAACGTCAACCGCAATCCGCTGCACCCCTGACATCCTCTACCCGACAAGGCCAGCCGCCGCCGCCGCCGCCGCCGCCGCCGCCTTACCAGTGCCAACCGCTCCTTCAACGCCACACCGCCGGCGCAAGCTTTCCAGCCGCGCTATTGCTTCTTCGACGCGGTCCGCCGCTTCCATCGCTCTCGCCCTCTCCACGTCGCGGTCGGCCTCCGCCTCGACGAGCGCGTGCTCCAGCCGGCTCCTTTCAGCCTTAAGCTCCCACAGCCCGACCTTCTTCGTCTTCGTCTCTTTGTCCTTGCCTCGATCTTCGGTCATCCTTTCGCCTGAGGTCTCGCGATTTCTTCCCCCCCACCTCTCGGCAGTATGGGTGCTCTGCTCTCCTGGTGCGCTGCTTGACATCGCTGATGCTGCCGGAGAGCACGGGGTGCGCTCGGCTGTCGTCGCCGTTGCTCTTGTCAAGCCTGCGCCGGCTTCTGCACCCCCGTCCACTTGTTCCTGAAGCTGCTGCCTCTCTCCCGCGGCATCGGCGGTGGTTAAGCCAGAAACAGGAGCTTGAGGTGCCACTCCTGCCACCACTATGGCAATACTGTCTCTATCTGTTGCTTCTGTTGGTTGTTCCTCGAATGGACTCAGGTCTGCGCCTTGCACTTTGTCATTTTCCTGCTTTTGCGCGATCCCCAAACCCTCCTCGCCTGAGACCTCTTCCTCAGCCTCAGCCTCCTTCTGCTCACCCCCTCTTTCCTGCACATCCTTTTCCTTTTCCTCAATCGAAATTTCCTCCCTCGCAGGTTGGGTCTCTGCTGACGCTCTGCCAGCGGCGGAACGCTCAGTACCCTTTTCCGGTTCGCCGTCCCCAAGTCCGGGCAACAAAGCCTCGGCGTGACTGCTCGATAGTGCTGCTACTGCTGTAGCGGTCTCATCGGCTGAGACCACTCTGTCCCCAATGCATTCGCTCACCTGTGCCACCTTCCCCTCGTCCGTATCCACGCGGCCTTGACGGCTAGCGGGCGGGTTTGCCGGCAGTGGGCCGCTTGGAAGCTGCTGGTATGAGGGCGGGATTGTTGGCATCGGAGAGCGACGGTCTTGAGCCCGTGGCACCCCCTGCTCCGGCGACTTTGACCGCCGCTGCTGCTGAGTGTACCTTGCTCCGAGCGGACCCGGTCTACCCTCTCGCGGGGGCGTGGCATTAGCAGACGACGAGGCCCAGGACTGCAGAGCAGAGCCCAGTCTTGCAGCTAGCCCCGCTCGGGAGGAAGCGGAAGGTTTGAACGGAGCTGCTCCTGACGACGACGGAAATGCGGGTCCTCCGCAGCTACCTGTAGCCTAATTCCGATTTGTTTTTCAACGTTACAGCGCGTTTCCAGCAACCCCGGCAGCGGGATTAGGAAGGGGCGGATTGTTAGAGCTAGAAATCATTGCGTTTGTCACAAACAAGAAAAACAATGTGGATTTACTGCTGCGGATGTGTACAGGCTTGGCACGTTCGGGGCTTGTGTGGCGGTGTGTGATCCGCAGCTCGCTTGCCGAACGAGAATGCAAAGAGGGTGATGAAGAGCTAACGTAAGAAACGGTTGTTTCTCGGCGCTAACTCGTGCGCCAGCAGCTGATTGCGCACTTGGGGGAATTCTACGATGACGATCGTGCGTAGAGAGCGGAAGATCCCGAGAACTGGTGGAGAATAACATCGCAAGAGTTTGTCCCTCGCAACCTGACATAAGTTGATTGGAATTATCGATCCGTAGTTTACACACGGCCCAGAAGTCGCTTCGACGGGTAGTGAGGTTTTTCACACGCGCGCGAGTTGGTTCAAACAGCTGCGCGACGGCACGTTGTGTAGCAAAAGGCATACCACCACGACCCGAGAAAGCTGAAAGCAACACATCACTACATATGCATACGAATGTATCAAGTTATCACGCCGGCAAAGTGGAACGCGTGCCTCATGTCTGCTGCCGGTGAGGCTGTCGGCGGTTCTTGTTCGATCTTCGCACTTTTGCCACAATGCGACAAACGGTTTGCTCTCTGGAGGATGGTGTCGGGGGTGGCCACGTGATCACACATCCTGACTATCGAGCCCACACCTGACAACAGACGCTGTACAAGGCTCTCGACATGATACGCTCAGTTAATTTTCCTGTAGTTATCAACTGTGTGCATGGCGGGAGGGGGCGACGGGGTGTATTTCGGGTGGGCCCCGGGTTCGACAATCAAACACTCGCTTCGAAAACCGGTAATATTTCACGACGGGTCAGTATTGCTCAAGGATAATATCGGTTCGAGTTTTTCCGACTTTTTCTTCAGAAACATATTCGGAAGGGGGCGCCATATACACGCCAGTGACCACATCGAGCAGTGCCCCGTAGCTCCTCATACCCGTGCAACAGGCCCCCAGTAAAACGTTTGCATCTTTCTGGCAAAGCCTGGTGTGCGGTTCCTGAAAACGATATCCAAAAAGTCAAGACACTACGCTCGGAGTCACGGACATCTGTGTTTGTAGGGATTGATTGGACTGTAAGAAAGTTCACCCTACACATGCAAAAGCACCATTGGACGGCAAACTCGTTTTCCGTTATTTTCGGTGCTTCGGTTTTATCCTGGCGCCCTTGAGGTTGGTTTCCTGTGGCCTCTTACTCTGAAATCAGATCCCTCGCGGTTCGAGCAAATGGTCTTGCTATGTAACATCGACCTCCTTCGTCCTTCGTGCAATGGTGTAAACTTTTTCTTCACGACAACTCAGAGGTCGTCGCACAACAGATGACTATCAAATGGCCGTGCAGGCGGGGTGAGTTCCAGATTAAGCGTTCAGGCAACAAGAACAGAAGGGGGCCCAACTGCCTGTCAATCCGCTATCTGCTGTCGGTCTGCTGTCTGCGGCCCAATCTCATCATGTGCACCTGTGGTCAAGTCGACATGTACGAGGGCCAACTATGAAGTGATGTATGCATACCATTACCTAGTTAGGCGAACAAAATACCATTCTTGGGGCGGTATTTTCAGCGCGGAACGTGGGGGAGGTCTGCTTGCGTCCCGAGAAGCTTGCTAAACATGTATCATACGCTACACGTAAACTTGCGATTAGCCAGTCTCGTCTACACTGGCACAACCAGTTTCAACTCATCCTATGGGGTTGTACCGGTCTCCCCGGTGGTCTAGTGGTACCCTCGTAATCTGCTACTGTAGTCGCAGAGGTCGTGAGTTCGAATCCCCATGGGGTGAAAAATCTACGAAACTTGCGCGTGAAAGCGAAATATAGCTAAAAAGCTCTCGTGAGTACCAAACTTCGATGTTAGCACCGTTGACAAGGGAAAGGGACGGCTGGACCCTTCTCGCGATAAAAATAAAATTCTGCACGCACCGAAGGAGGAAGGTGGGGCATGAAAAGAAATAAAAAGAAGAAGAAAGCCCTGGTGTTTACCGTAAATGACACAAGATAACACACCCCCTTGACCGATTTTTCAAAGCTCGATTTCTTAACTGCCGGAATAGTCACAGCGCCGAAAACGGCGGCGTTGAAACCGTCTCGTCGAGAGCTTTTCGAAAATGTATCGTTTCGTTTATGCATCCTCTTCGTCGTGGAGTAATCGAGCTTTGGAAATCGGTCCAGGGGGTGTGTTATCTTGTGTCATATACGGTACCCCCTCCTGTGTGACCCTGGAAGGTTGACGAAAACATATACATGTACTGAAACGTGTAGTACTCCAAATACGCTGAAAAGTGTAGTACACGTCTCACCACGAAAAATGGGGGTACTGTCGCCATAATAAATAGGACGAAAACACACACACACACACACCATGCTGCCCCCTCACGAAGTCCCAGTTCACGGCAGATAAAAGTGTTACGTGTTTTCAACAGCACTGAGACTGACGTCTTCTCATTGGTCAGCCGGTTAGCGCGGTCGATGCAAACGATAAAAACATACACATGGGGTTGTGGTTTTGGTCGCGTTCAGCTCACCTTGTTCACTGGTGATTCGCAGGGTGTCAACATGGCAACGTACCCATCATCCATCGTGGTCGCACTGGCCTTTGCAGCTTTTGCCAAAACTCCCAAGCCACTGACCATAGTGCTCTTGGTGCTCGCCACGAAGCTCTGACTGCTCTTCTTCGATGTTGATCGAGATCCCAACAGCAGTCCCCCTAAACCGTGCCCGAGCTGGCTGTTGAAGCTTTTCGGCCGAAAGGGCTCCAAAGAAGGGTACCGAGTATCATCAGCAGCACCACCTTGGGGTGCTGCGGGGCCATCGGGGCTATTGTCGTCGTCACCGTTTGCTGCCGCGAGAGTAGCTGTTCCAGAGACGTTGTTTGTCTCTTGTGAGTCTTGGTGACGATATACCGGTGCTGAAGGTGATACCGAAGTTGTTGTACCAGGGCTATCATGTACAGGAACGAACTCAACATCAGAAGCATCCATGGGAAGGACAGGGAAGGAACCAGGGACAGCAAGCACTGCAGGGCTGGGCCAGCCCTTGTCTTGATAAGCCGCGGGGACTTGGCAAGGGTTGCGAGTTGCGAGCGCTCGGTGGACGGGAAAACGGGAAAAACAGACAAAAGCAAGCGGGTGATCAACAAGTCGTAGCACTGTCCAGGTTGACCAATGATATTACTGTAATGAAAAGCAGATTACCGTAGCCGACATTCGATCTTTACTGACTTCGACTACGGGTTGTTGCGTGTTGCATCGGATTGTAGATAGCGGTGGGACAGGCTAAACCTGCGTACTACGGTAGTAGAGCGGGCCCGTAGGCGACATACATGTCACACGCCAAGGCCGATTTTCAACGCTCGAATACTCCACGCAGCACGATGGAAAAAATGGGCCACGAGACCAGCTCGACACGGCTGGTTCAAAACGCCGCCATTTTCGTCATCGCCACTCCTTGCTCCCTGCTGTACAGCAGTAGACTATATAAGCTTTGAAAAAAGGTCGACGGTGCGCGAAAACCTGTATCCCTTACGATATACCACTAGATACTGGACGCGCAGATTAGTCTAGTCTACCTATTCGGGCAGTCACCGAAGCAGGTTATCTTGGTGATCTGCAACACTCTAGAAAAAAAGCGACTTCGTTAGATAAATAGGCGTGACCCGCAACAATGCCAAATAAGTAGACTGGACTACACCTCATTGCCTGGATTTCAAGTGGACGAGCCCTACTGTAGGACGATCGTGCGCGTGCACCTTCCGTCAACGGATACCCATGCCACGACAACATAACCTGTGTTGTAATGGTGATGCATGAATTAGCCCTAACCCTAACCGTAACCCTAACCCTAGGAGAGATATGACGGCTCTTGCTCCGGTGTCTTGACGAAAATGAACGGTAATAATTTATTGGAAGGGTCAAGGGTCTGTGAGACAAAATTTCCAAGACCCATAGGCTTACTAATCGAAAATCGGGGTGATATGTGTGTGGGGGGGGTGTACTCATAGTCGTGCATGCCGTAGTCGTTAGACCATTGACCTCGCATCCCTACAAAGCCGGGACGGAGCACGCCGGGTTCTCACCGGACCAGGCTCTCACATCACCAAGCGCGAAGCGCCGTGAGATATTCGGCGAGTCGCATGAAGGGTGCGCTGCATCCTGCTAAGGGTGTTCGGCATCTTGTGCTTACTTCCTTGCGTACGGATGACAGCTGCGTATGAATTAATTTATCTGGTGCTTCACTTCCAGAGCCAGTTAGTTGTAAGCACTGTGTAACTGCCTCGAGGGTGCTTGACCATATTGACACAACGTGGTGCGATCATCCCCTTTGCGCGGAGTGAGGGTTCTTCACCCCGCACGACATGATCCATTCGACCACCATTCATTATGGTTACCGCCACAAAAAAAATCAGAGGAAAAAAACAAACGGTAACCTGGTTGCCGAGTTCAGGAAGTGAATTGGCTTGTTTTTCAACGTCATTGCCAAGCGACGAAAACCCAACCCC